TTTTCAAATGGTCTGGTCTTTAAAATCCTATCCTAGAGTATTGATCCCCATAGGATTGCTTTTTCCATTCTGACATTCTTGCCATAGTTTCATCTGCTCCCTAAGCATGAAATGGAATTGTTATCCTATTACACTAGACTTTACATACACAAGAATTATCCTAGAAATGAAAAAAACTATGTTTCAGAGAGGGACAGCAGCTGACTCAAGATTGTAAGTCTAATTCAGTAGTTCTCAACTGGGGACAATTTTGACATGTCTGGAGACATTTTTGGTTGTCACAACTAGGAAGTGCTATTGGCATCTAGTGGGTAGAAGCCAGGGATGCTATCACACATTCAACATTGCACAAGATGGATTCAAAGACAGATCCCATAATGGAGAATTATCCAAACTAGAATGTAAATAGTGCTGAGATTGAGAAATTTGGTTCAGTTAGAGAATCGGATTTCCTAACAAGTGCAAACTTATTTATTATACCTTATTAGTATATATTAAAAAGAGTTGGTAACTATCCAGGACTTAGAAATATGTTTGTTAGATTTTGCTTGTAATGGTACTGGTTCTTCTACCAGCAAAAGGAATATTGACAGTTCACCATTGAAACAATTTTTAATTATTTTTCATATAAAGGTGACCTTATGCATGTAGTCATCTATACATTTTCTTCCTCCACTTCTCCCCAAGGGTAAGCATTTCTAGAACAACTGGTTAGAGCAGGAGGCACAGGGGTGATTTCCTAGAATTAAAGAGAACATCCAAAACTTTTCCCAGAGTGAGTTCACCTTAGTGTCAGTGGGATCACTTTTTGCCCTGCTCAACTCAAATTACTCAAACAGCATACTGTGTTATGGACAGTTCCTGGGTTGTCCTTGAACCGAAAGGATGGCTTCAACCATCTCAACTTCTTGCCATGGCTTCACCTCAATCTCAGTGGTAATACCTGCATTGTCAGTTCTTCAGTCTGCTCACTGGCACTAATTATTGGTCATGATCTCATCTGGGACTGGGACCATTCAGGGGCAGAATGGATGCTTTCCAACTCAGAAGCTGAATCAGTTTGGGTCATTTATCTTAAAGGCATTATACTGTGTCTTATCAGAGGTGTAACAGCCCTGGCCGGTGTGGCTCTGTTGATTGGGGCATCATCCCATATACCATCAAGGCACATATCTGGGTTGTGGGTTCAGTCCCTGATCAGGTTTCATGCAAGAAGCAACAATCTCTCTCTCCCTCCCTCCCTTTCTTTCTCTCTCTCTATCTATCTCTCTCCTTCCCTTCCCCCTCCCCCCTTTCTCCTTTTCTTCTTCCCTTCCTCTCTCTAAAATAATTTAAAAAAGAAAAAAAAAATGTAACAGATGGCCCTTGTCTTCTGGGAACTGACAGCCTAAATTGGAGGAAAATAATAAATCCATGTGGAAAAAAAACCCAATGATTCAAAGCAGAAAATGCCTTTTAAAGACAGTAATGTAGAAATTTAGAGGTAAGAATTTAAAGGTGAGAAAGATCCCTTTAAATTGGGAGAATTAGGAGCAATTTTGGGCAGAAAGGGTCATCCTGAAACCTTGGGATGGGTCTCAAGGAACTGTTAAGAGTTGAGAGGGGGGCGGGGGAGAAGAAGGAGAGGAAAAGAGAGGAGAGCAGAGGGGAGAAGAGGAAACCAGCTTAGCTAGGGTTGAGGTACTCGATGGAAGAAAAGTCAGAGATAAAATTGGAAAAAACAGGTTTGCCAAATGTGGCAGACCTTGACTATCAGGCTAAGGAACTTATATTTTATTCTGTAGGTAAATGGGGAGCTGACAATGCCTCTCATAAGGGAGGTCTCAAGCCCATGTCAGTTCCCCTCTCCTACGTTCTGGCTTGACTAAACACACTGGTCTGGGAGCCAAGGATTCCAACCTTCTGTCAGTACTGCCTCTTCTCGACCCACAGCTGTTTCAGGAAAGGTCATGAGAATTCAAAGACCCAAAGCAAGCTCCACATCTGACCCCAACTTGCTGCTTGTTTCATTTTCCCTGCCTATACAAATGAGCTCATTACCTTCATTTACCCCAGGAGCAACAGAACTAGGATAACAGAACTCTGATCTGCTCCTGCTTGGAGGGAAACTCTCATGGGCTTTCCATCAGTATCCAGAGGCTGTGTGGAACTCCGGAAGAGAGGCAAGCTGGGCTCTGAAGGGCGGGCACCTTTCCAGGCCCAGCCCTGCCCTCCCACAACCCTCCACCTCCTCCCTCTCAGCGCAGGCCAGAGGAAGCAGCAGCTGTTGTCCTGTGGGGAAGACAGGCAGAAGTCCACCTGGCACTGCTGGGGTTTGCACAATACCTGCCCCAATGGCTTTAAACACACACACACACACACACACACACACACACACACACACACACACACCAGTGGCCACTGGAGAACTTGGGCCAAGAACAGTGATTAGGGTGATCAAATGAGAAGGAGGCTGGGGTAACTAGCTAACTAGCTACCTCATATCCCTGGATAAAGGCTGCTTGTGTGCGGGGCTTTCTCCCCTCCCATCTTCTCTCCCACCATTTTGGCTTCCGTTCTCCCTTCTCTAAATTTTCTCTCCTCCCTTCAAACTCCCTTGCCAAACTCCCTGACCAGCCTTGAGCCTGATGCCTAACTCCTTTTGTTCTCCCTAACCTAACCTTGTCTCCCCCTTCCTCCCTCTTTTCCTCCTGCCCCATACGTGTAGTGAAGGAAAAAGGGCAAAATTATCTTACCAAGTGCAAAGTGAAGCAGCTCTTGGAAGCTGAATAGTTAAGGCAAATAAATAAAGTCGCCTGCCTTATCCAAATAATAGAGGCAAAGAAAGGGGTTTTTAGCTTGAATCGTGCAGGTGGTAAGTTCAGCTCCCCAGATTTTGTATGCAAACCTAAACCTTTCTTTTCCCTTTGACCTCAGAGAATAGAGGTGTGTGTGTGTGTGTGTGTGTGTGTGTGTGTGTGTGTGTGTGTGTGTACCTTCACATAGCACCAAGGCAGCCTTCTGGAGAACCCAGGATAAAGGAGTTAAGCAAACTAGGATAATTATAACGACAGGAAAACACAAGAGCACAGGGCAGTGCAAGTCGTGGTTGGGAAACATCTCACTCTAGAAGGATGAGAAGTGAGGAGTCCGGGCTAGGAATTTAAATGAGCTCTTGGCTTCCCATCCGCTCCTGTAACTCCAGCCTCCAGCTAGGCAGGGCTGGCCTGGCCTGTGCTGATCTGCATTCTGTCCACAATCTGCTTTAAACCATGGACAGTATCTCCACATATTTGCATTTCTACAGCAGCAGGGGCATAATTCTTATCTAGAAGTTCAAACTGCAGAGATTCAGGCCCCTTAACAAAGCAGTGACTGCCCAGAGCCAAGGCCTCACTGAAGGTGAGCCAGAGGAGCCAGAGCCTGCATGAATTTGCTCCTGGCTCTCTGTTTCCATCTGGTGGTGTTTCCCATCTCTAGCACCACATTCTCTTCCAAAGATCCTTCATGAGGACCCACAACAGAGCTATCTACTAAAATGACGTCCCCGTAGCCCAGTGATCAGCAAACTCATTAGTCCACAGAGCCAAATATCAACAGTACAATGATTGAAATTTCTTTTGAGAGCCAACATTTTTTAAATTTAAACTTCTTCTAACGCCACTTCTTCAAAATAGACTCGCCCAGGCAGTATTTTGTGGAAGAGCCCCACTCAAAAGGCCAAAGAGCCGCCTGTGGCTCAGGAGCCGCAGTTTGCCGACCACAGCCCTAGCCTCAAAACAAACATCCAAATCTTCCTGGTTGCAATCCACACAACAGCCAGGGGATCTTTAAACAGATGGGCCTTTTACTCCTCTGCCGAGAACCCTCCCAGGGCTCCTGAGGGTGCACAGAGCAGAACCTCAGTCCTAAGGATCTCCGAGGCTTGCCTCTGGTCCCTGCTCAGCCACACTGGGCCCTGGCTGTCCTCCAGCACCCAGGCATGTCTGTCTGTGCTGGGGCCTCTACAGTGCTATTCTCCCTACTGGAGCCTTTTCCGAGGCCAGTACAAACTCACTCCCCTTCCAGTCTTTGTCCCAGAGTCACCTACTGCAATGACCTAATATAAAAATTGCTGCCTACCAACTTCCATCCTGTTCTACTTTTTTTTTCCATAGCAACTATCACTTTCAGCAAAGGATATCTATAACTACTGTCTTTCCCTCAATGAAATGTAAGCTCCACAAAGATAGGGATTTTTGTCTCTTTTTTTTTTCCTTTGTTTTGTTCACTGATATTCTGCACTTTCGCACATAGCAAGGGCTCAGTAAAAATTTCTTGACTACATGAATGAGCATGAACTCAGTCTTCTGAGATCACCTACAATGCAGGAGAATCCTGAGAACAAAAATACTATTCATCTTCGTTTTCCAGGCCTTCCCAAACTCATAGAGGTATGCTTCCCTGCCTTGGTGTCCCAGTCCTCTGAGTGCCCCATGCCAGGTTCACTGGAGCCCCCAGAGCAGCATCGTTTTCTACACAGATGTCACTGCCACCAGGCAAAGGAAGGCCCAAGGCACCCCTGCCAACAGCATGTTCAAATTTGGACAATATTTAAGTTCGATAAAGTAGGGAGAGGAAGAGTGAAGGGTAAGAGGGGTTGGGTGCCTTTTTCAGGTAGATCCAGGTGGCCTTGCTCAGCATCTGGAGGTGAGAGAGCCAGAGGAATAAGTCACCGTGAAATAACTGGATTGGAATGGTGCCGGGCATGGTGACTGTGATCATTTGTCTACTTCTCTGTCTTCTCTATCTCCTCTGAAAAAATAAGCAGCAAATCCTGATGACAGGAAACCATACAAAGCAACTTCCTAGGCTAGTCTATCTGTAGCTCAGGTCAGAGAAGAAGCAATTCTTATCACCACAGTGACTGGTGGTTCCCAGAATCCTGAACCAGAGGTGTATATAAATGAAGAGATAAATAACAGCTCTCGCTGAAATTCATTTTAAGTTGACACCTGCGTCCAGTGCTTTATTAGAGTCATCAAAACCACGTGGCCAGAGGCCAAATCTAGTCTTGGAGTGTGAAGATTCAAGCTTCCTCACTGCCAAACAAGTTTAGGCAGGTACATTAGCTCCATAGCTATCAGCTTATTTGGGATATGTAAGCAGAGAGGCGCGCACCTGATTCATTTCCTGACCCATGACTGCTCCCCAGCCCGCCCCCAAACTGACGCAGTGTAGCCTAGGCCCGCTTTTAAGGAGCCAGGCCTGAGAAGAGCCCTCAGAGAGCTGAGGCCCAGCCGTGACACGCGCATCCTCACTGAGCAAGAGTGGCCCAGCAGCAGCAGCACAAGGACCCCGTGAAGAGGTGAGGAGATTGAATAGAGAATGAATGGGTTCTGACAAGATGCGAGTACATGGGGCGAGCAACAAGATGGACAGAGGAGGGACTCCATGTGGAGGGGGCGGAGGGGACACACAGAGGGGAAAGATATAGTGATGCTGGGGTGGAGGCACAAAATGAGGATTCAGAGGGATGGGGGCGGGGTCATAGAGAGTCTGAGGCACAGAGAAAGGGGTAGGTACAAACAAGATGGGACTTGAGAGAGAAGACAGAACAAAGTGGGAAACAAGAGGGGCATAAAGAAGGAAGATAGGGTACAAGGTGAGGGAGATGGGGCATAGGGTTAGGGGCTAGGGTCACGGTAGGTGTGGCAGAAGAGGGGGAGGAAGGGATGAGACTTGGGGTGAGAAAGGAAAGGAAAATGGTGATTAGCTAGAAGGAGGCTCATGCCTCAACTAGACCCTGCCTGCTCTCTGCTCTCAGGGACCTAGACCTCTATTCTGACTATTTTCCCCCCCCACCCCCAAGAGACATGGCCCCTGCCGGAGCAAGATTCTGCCCTCTGGTGCTACTTCTGCTGCTGGGCCTGTGGGTGGCCGAGGTCCCCATCAGCGCCAAGCCCAAAGGCATGACCTCAGCTCAGTGGTTTCAAACTCAGCACGTTCAACCCAGCCCCAAGGCATGCAAAGGGGCGATGGGCAACATCAACAAGCACACAAAGCACTGCAAACCCCTCAACACCTTCCTGCACGAATCCTTCTCCAGCGTGGCCGCCACCTGCCAGAGCCCCAACATAGCCTGCAAGAACGGCCAGAACAACTGCCACCAGAGCAAGGGGCCTGTGTCCCTGACCAGCTGTGAGCTCACCTCGGGGAAGTACCCAAACTGCAATTACAAAGAGAACGCAACGCATGCTTCTTACATCATAGCCTGTAACCCTCCCCAGAAAGGGGACGCAAAACAATTCCACCTGGTTCCCGTGCACTTGGACAAAGTCGTTTAGCTTTCCAGCCCGTCTCGCCCTGGGTTACCTGTCCTCTCTGGGCCTCTGTGCTGCTGCTCCTCTGCCCAGGAAGGTTCTCTTCCTTTCGTTTCTTGGGGCCTTTCCTAGCTCAGGCTTTTCTGGTCGGCTAAACTCTAGAAGAGACGGTTTTCTATCTTTTTGTTGGTTTCCCCAGAAACTTATCCCAGGAGAGGAGCTGAGCAAGCTGAGGGGTGGAGTTCCCTGGCCTGGGCCTGTGCATTTCTCTGCCCCGTCTATCGTGGCAACATGAAAAGAGGAGGAAATGGACACAACAGGGGGGTGGGATTTATGGACAGAGCTGTTCCGGTTCCTAATAGAAGACTCCCCCAGCTCTGCTGTGGCAGTGAGGTGGCCTCTGGGCAGACAAATGTCACAGTATTTCATGTTCTTCATGGAGCAGCCACACGAGTCCCTTGTGACATAGACTTGATGATTTGCTTTCTGTAGGGATGAGTAAATTGAGATTTCAGAAAGCTTGGTTAATTAAAGAGCTTGTGAAATTGGTTAGTAGCAGCACCTGGACTTGAACTTAAGCTGCCTCCTCTATGTACAGTGCACTTTCTACTTTTCCCCTGGGCACACAAAGGAGACCTTGGCAGCGACCAGGGAACTAGGTAAGAGTTCACCCATGAAGAAATGTACCCTGAGAGCTCCGGAGAGCCAATCACTCTGTGTTGACCACGTTAAAGGTCACCACCCCTCTAGCCAAGAGACTGTTTGTGAGGTACTCCAGGGATCTTCACTCATTCTTTCTGCCTCTCCTATTGTCCTGCCCCTTCTCCAGCCCATAGCTTTTCCAGCCTGTTCCTGGGCTGTCTCTGGCTAGACCCCCTCTTCCTGAAGGTGAAGGTGAGGGAGTGCCCCAGCTTCACCCCCCTGCTCTGGGTCACATTTCCCTTGACCTCAAGGGACTTCCGTGGCCCAGAGCCTACTTATCACAAACAGGGTGGTGGGAGCTGCCAGAGCTTCCTTCCTCCTGATAATCATCTCTCCTGCCTCGGTGCTTCCCTGGCTCTCACTCTGGCAGTCAGCCCAGGCCATTGAGGTTGAGATATGGAAATGCCACCTCCTTGCCCCCCCCTCCCCCCCCCCCCCGGGGCTGCAGACATCGTTTCTCCCTCCTGTGAGTGGAGCTGGAGAAGCTAAGGCTTTATGTTGCCTGGTCCTGATGGTCTCTCCCACATTGCCTGCAGCCCCTTCTCTTCTTTTAGCTCAAGGCCAGACCAATGGCACCGTGCCTTTACCTGCCCTGCCCACCCTGCTTCCGCACCCAGCTGAGTGTGAGACCTTCCCGCCCCAGCTGGGGTCGACTCTCTGCCTGAGCCTCCTCACAAGTAGAGTGCTCCTTTACCTCTTACCAGAGTTAGAGGAAGCCTTGGAGCCAGATGGAACTGGGTGTAAATGTGGGTTCAGCCGTTCATGGCTACATGACCTCAAGCCAACCCGACCCTCTCCGCAGCTGTGTTTCCACATAGCAAAATGGGAGTAATGCCACCTACCGAGTAGGATTGCAGTGAGATTTTAAAATGAGACAGGAGTCGGCTAGAAGGCGAGTCTGCAGGCAAAGTCCTGTTAGATGGGCTGGGTGGTATGAGACCATGAGGAGAGAAGGTAGGGAAGGGATGGTCAAGAGAAAGGAGAAAAGACTGTTGAACAACTCAAGCAGGGCGTGGGGCCAATAAGTTAAGTCTTGAAAGTAAAAATGCACTAAATACACCACAGAGGGTTGAATGAAATATACATTGTGGTCAAATGGCTAAGTGTAAAATCTATACCTTCTATAGTCAGTCACTGTACTACACATTTATCATTTTAAGCAGATTTTCAACTGAGGTAAGGATATGTGGGGGTAGCTGATTTTTCTCTTTACTTTCTTCTTTTTTCACAACTCTTCATATATTCTTTATTGATGATGTTCTATATGGATATTATGGTTTTGAAGACATTGTCATCACAAAATTTTTAATTTGTTAAAATTATCCCTTTAAGCTCAAATGAGAATTTCCAAATAGAACTTTTTTTTTAAAAGACTCCTAAACCAAACAGTTTTAAATAACTAAAAATAAAATAAACATAATTAAAAAGTAACTTGTGGTGACAGAGGTAAAAATCACGTTGGGGAGTACTGTCTGGGAAAGAGTAAAAGGTAAGCTGGACTTGGTTCTTCCTTAGGCTGGATATGTTTACTTTTTGAAAACTCATTGAGCTGTACTTGTAATGTGTACTCACTGTACATAAATTATATCTCAATAAAAAAATCCTCCAAAAAATTATAGTTATTATGGATTGTTTTATTTAACCTGATAAATGCTAATTTAGCAATTAAGTCTACAAAGGTTATATAATGAAATTATAGATAGAATTATAATCTATTTTTATTTTTCTACCTTACACTATTTGTTTAATAAAATAGTACTTGTACTATTTATTAAGTTGTTATAAATACTTTTGGTTCAAAAGACATACTGTATTTTCTGGCGTATAAGATGACTTTTGAAACGAAAAAATTCAACGAAAAATCGGGGACAAAAGACCAAAATTGCACAAAAATTACCTGCAGATCTTGACGCCAAAGTAAGTCTTTTCTTTGAAGTGGGGGGTAGTCTTATACAGTGAATATAGGCCTAAACCTATGTTTTAACTGTAAAATTAGGGGGTCATCTTACTCTCTTCTGATATCTATATTGTCAACTAATTTTCCTAATTTTCTAACTATGTGAAAATTCATAATTATTTTGCGTATAAGCCTTGATAACCACTAATTTATTACAGCATTTTTCTTAAAATAATATATATTTACTAGAGGCCCAGTAGATGAAATTGGTGCATGCAGGGGGCGGGTATTTATCCCTCAGCCCAGCCTGCACCCTCTTCAATCTGGAACCCGTTGAGGGATGTCCAACTGCCTGTTTAGGCCCATTTGGGAGTTGCACATCACTCTCAAAATCCAGGGCTGCTGGCTCCCAACCACTCGCCTGCTTCTGCCTGATTGCCCCTAACCCCATCTGCCTGCCAGCCTGATCACCCCTAACCACACCCCTGCCAGCCTGATCAATGCCTAACTGCTCCTCGGCTGGCCTGATTACCCCTAATCACCCTCCCCTGCCAGTCTGGTTAACCCCCAACTGCCCTCCCCAACTGTCCTTTCCTGTAGGCCTGATCCCCACACACACACACACCTCAATGTTTCTTGCTCATAAGTGTTTCTCTCTATCCCTCTCCCTTCCTCTCCACTTCAGGCCTGGCCCCTCCCCCCCAACTGCCTTCCCCTAGAGTCCTGGTCCCTCCCAACTGCTGACCTGGTCTCCCAAACTGCCCTCTTCTGGTGGCCTGGTCACCCCTAACTGCCTTCCCTGCTGGTCTGATCACCCACAACTGCCCTCCCCTGCAAGCCTGGTTCCCCCCAACTGCCCTCCCTTACTGGCCTGGTCTCCCCCAACTGCCCACAACTGCCCTCCCCTGCAGGCCATCTTGTGGCAGCCATTTTGTGTCCACATGGAGGCAGCCATCTTTGACCACATGGGGGTAGATATCTTGTGTCTTAGAGTGACAGTCAATTTGCATATTACTCTTTTATTAGATAGGATGCTTCCACTGAGTGATAGAATTTTAACATTTATAAAAGTTTGTAAGGAAAATTTCACTCCCAGTTTCATCTAGAATACTCACCACTATTTGAAAGTGACTGTTCAGATATTAATAATAAATTGAAATGACCTGCCTTGTTCTCATTTCTGATGCTTTAACTGATTAGGTTTGACAGTTACCCATTCCTTCATATGATCTTGACCACCAGGAATGCCAGGAGTAATGTTGAAATAGGCACACAGCCTGGCTGGTGTGGCTCAATGGTTGACCCTTGACTCAGGAATCAAGAGATCTCATTTCAATTCCCACTCATGCACATTCCTAGGATGTGGGTTCCATCTCTAGAAGGGAGCATGCTGGAGGCAGCCAATCACTGATGTTTCTCACTCATCAGTATTTCTCTCTATCCCTCTCTCTTCCTCTCTCTAAAAATCATTTTTTTTAAATATATATTTTATTGATTTTGTACAGAGAGGAAGGAAGAGAGATAGAGAGTTAGAAACATCGATGAGAGAGAGAGTCATCGATCAGCTGCCTCTTGCACACCCCCTACTGGGGATATGCCCGCAACCAAGGTACATGCCCTTGACCGGAATCGAACCCAGGACCTTTCAGTCCCCAAGCCGACACTCTATTCATTGAGCCAAACCGGTTTCGGCTAAAAGTCAATTTTTAAAAGTTTTTTAAGAACTAGGCATTTGACTATTCAGCCTCCCAAAGGTCAAAGCTGAGGTCCAAAATGAATAACAGTTTAAGCCAAACACCACGGCTGGCTGAACCTGATGCATTACTACCTTAAAACTGAAAAAAAGGAAGAGGAGACTGGTTAGTCATGAGACTTATTTTTAAATATTTTTTTTATTGATTTCAGGGAGGAAGGGAAAAAGAGAGAGAGAGAGATGGGGAGAGAGAGAAAGAGAGAAAGAGAGAAACATCAATGATGAGAATCATTGATCGGCTGCTTCCTCCCCACACTGGGGGTTAAGCCCACAACCCCGGGCATGTAGTTCATAGGTCTATCTATGCTCAACCACTGAGCCACAGCGGTTGGGCAGTTATGAGACATTTTTGTTGCTGGAGGTGGGCGCATGGAAAGGGAAAGAAAGTATCTAGGGAAGTATTGACCAACCTTGTGTAGAAATCTGTAAAGAATTCTTTTGACCTATCCCTAAGGAGCAGAAATAAAATCCAGTAAAGAAATTAACCTAAGCCCTATTCAGTTTGGCTCAGTGGATAGAGCAGCGGCCTGCGGACTGAAAGGTCCCAGATTCGATTCCGGTCAAGGGCATGTACCTTGGTTGCAGGCACACCCCCAGTAGGGGATGTGCAGGAGGCAGCTGATCGATGTTCCCCTCTCATTGACGTTTCTAATCCTCTATCCTTCTCCCTTCCTCTCTGTAAAAAAATCAATAAAATATTTTTAAAAGAAATTAACCTAAGAACTGGAACTATAATGAGTTAACTTTCCTAGGTGTGAAGTAGATTAGGCAGGAGACTTTTCTACTTGACACTGGTTCCCCCAGGCTCCACACTCTGAAGTAAATGAACCATACTCTGCCCTCCCCTGCAGGCCTGGTTCCCCGCCCCACCTCTACTCTCTCTTTCTCTCTCTCCCTAAAATCAATTTTTAAAATTTTTTTTAAAGAAGAAGGGTTCTGATCTCAAAGGCAGGATGTAGGAAGAGGAAATGCCCTTGAGATCAGGACTCTTCTCACATTGATTCCA